GCTTTTAAAGCGGAAGTTAAATTCACTAAACTAAAAATGAAAATAAATGAGAACAAAAGCACATTCAAGAGTTGTGTTAGGCTATTTTGATTACCCCATTACAGTCACTTTACAGTCAGTGCTATCATAAAAATAGACTTAAATTTTAGGTTTAAAATTCTACACGTCACATTTATTGTCCAACTACAAATATTTCAGCGAAATGTATATTTTAGTCAGAATTATTGCGCTCCTATTTAATTGAGCTCTGTCTGTTTGGTGCGCATGCGCGCAACGGCACTCGTTCACTGAAGTCTGTGAAGTTTAACGGAGAATCCCAAAGAAGAAGGTCGGTTCATGCACTTCTGACAGAAAAATGGAAATATTTCCATGGCTTTCTAACATTTACAGATAGAGAATATACCTGTGAAATGTAAGTTATGCATTCAGGAAGACAGCACATCTCAAACACATTAAACAGCGCGAGTGGCCTAGTGTCTCTGTCAGCGGCACACGCAGCCTTTCTGTCAGAGCATCTGATGGCCGAGCCGCTTAAACTAATATGCTAAATGAAACTATAAACTATGTCTTACCAGTTTTTAAAGGCCTTAATATGAAGCTTGTCACATGTTTAGAACAAATTGGATTATGCACTTTCTCTGCAGCAGCTCAGTCTGTGTCCTCCGCTTCAGATGCGCTCGTATCAAACTACTGTATATCGATATAAACGGTATAGCCTCATATCGAATCGCTTATAAAGAAAGTATCGATATATCGTACAAACTCGATATACCACCCAGCGCTAACTTGGAATTTAGTGTATGAATCATATGGACCACTTCTATGGTTCATTTGTGTCCTTTTTCAAGATTGAAAGCTTTAGTCTCTATTTGCTGCAATTCTATGGAAATGAAAAGCCTTCCTCGTTTGTTCCATGAAAGAAAATCATTCAGATTTGGAACGACATGAGGGTGAGAAATTGAAAACAGAATAGTCATTTCTGTGTGAACTGTCCCTTTAGAAGTGTACAGTCAGTGAGAGAGGCAGACTGAAGCTGGAGACACAGATGGATGGCGTGATACTGATCGTTTCATACTGAATGGAGCCGAGACAGACCTTAAAGAAAATGTGTATGAAAATCTCACAACAAATAACTGCATTTCAGGCGACATTTTTTTCATTTTCTTTTTTTTCTTTAAAAACGTCTTTCTCATCTCAATATTTAAATTTTTTTCAGTCCGTTGTGCTACCCACATTCTTTGATACCTTTTCTTTTGTTCATTCTCTGTGTCGATATGTAAAACATGCTGTGACAGCTAGGATTTGTCGTGGTTGGTGCTACTGTCTGGATGAGGGTGAGGACGGCGAGTGTTTGCTGATACATATGTAGAGCATAAATCAGTGTCGGAGGACAAAGAGTTAGAGTATATATGGTGAGCCCACAGATTTGTAGGAAACTGAGAGGATATTAACAGCGTGCGATAGAGGGGAGTCATTCAAAGTGGTGGGGAGAGGAAAAGGTGAAGGGTCACGATGATGTGGAAGAGGAGGATGCTCAGTCTTCGTCCTGGTCCAAGTGGGCCTGCTCATCTATTTCATCATCTTCTGGTGGTGCAAAGCCATCCTGTAAAAAAATAGGCATTTTTTAGGATGATCATGGTATTTCAACACTGCACTGTATAAAATTTTGTATATTTCAATTATTTTAATGCACTTTTGTATTTGTCCATTATGGTTCCTGAGGAGCATGTCATTAGACTAGTTTTCTTAATTTTAGTTCTCAGTTTCATAGTGGTTCTAATTAAAACATCAGTAGCAACAATTTAATCTCCATTTCAATAAATTGATTTTGATTCTGAAGACTCAACACGGCATTTTTCATATATTCATATACAGTTGTCAGTAGATTTTGTTGCATTTCAGACAGCTTAGAACTTTAATGGTGCTCAAAATTTGATTTCCAAGGTGGCGAGGACTAATGAGCATAATGCATAATTAAGTTTATAATGTAATAATTTTTTTTAAGTGTTTTTACCATAATTGACTTTAGAACTCAAATTTGACTCTTGTTGAGTCATGTCATGGTGCCATCTTTCTGTTGGTTAATGCTGTGAATCTGCATGACCAACTTGGATTTAGTCAACAGCCGATACAAACTGATATTGATGTCGCAATTATGAATCAACCTGACAAATATATATGTCAAATAATTAGCAAAAAGATATCAAACGTATCATTGGCAGTACCTCTGTGGCATACAGAATGTCAATTATCCTACTGATAATGGGGTGGTTTTCAGTCTCATGTTCTTGACAGATCAGCTCAATGTCTCGAAGTTTGCTGAAGTAGAAATCTCTCTCCTTTTCCAGACCATCTACAGTTAACTTCAGCTCCATCAACTTAAAAAAAAACAAAGCAAAAGACAAAGGACAAAATGTAAGATACTACTTATCAGAACATCATCATTCCTTAATGGGAAAAAGTCAGTATGCTTACTATGATAAGACAATCTATATCCAGAAGAATATTAAATAAAATGCAATAATATGAATAAGTGGGATAGAAGATGAAGGAATGGTCTGAAGAAAATGGGAGAAAATAAAGATAAAAATGACAAATGCAAAATCTACCTACACTTTCTTTCTATTCAATTTCTACAATCTCCAATCCAAAGTATTCCAAGGTAGAGTAAGTCTTCCTTACCCTCCCAGGGACTCTACCTGTTGATTAAGCTCCATGATTTCAGCATCACTTCCCCCATTTCGGGCATGTGTGGGGTTCTTCCTTATGGTGGTGGTCACCCTCTGTGGTGTGGGCATGTTTTTAGGTACTGTTGGCGATGTTCTCTGAGGCCCTGAAATGGGAGATGTTTTACATTTAGTTACAATAAATGGGAGCTGTTCAGTAAATGTACAAACTGATCCATGCAATTTTAGGTTTCTGTCATTTCTATCAGCTTCTTAAACACATTTAGCTCTGTTCGATACCATAGTGGGCCAAAATGGACCCTCATAAGTGACTGATCTGAAACGTCCTACAAACAGCACTTATCATGAGAGCTCAAATAACGGTCAATTCTGAATTCTGTCTGCCAACTTAAGTGATTTTTTTTTCAGTAAGCTTATCCCATAGTATTTTGGGATTGCCTTCACATATAAAATATATAGACTTTCAATACCTTGTTTTGGCCAGAATTGCATAAGATCATTTTGCTGGCAAATCTTTTTACCATCCTCAAGAGTGAGCCTATGATGCCTTTAAAGAAATAGTTCACCCAAAAATGAAAACTTGTTGAAAATGTACTTACCCTCATGCAATACATGATGAGTTTGTTTCTTCGTCAGAACAGATCTGGAGAAATTTAATAACGCTTCCTCCAGGCCCCACCATAGCACAGTAACTGCACTTGTTAAAATTACAAATGACTTGCTTCTTGCGTCAGACCAAGGCTGCATCTCATTGCTAGTTTTACTTGATCTTAGTGCTGCGTTCGACACTATAGATCATGACATACTCAACAGCAACTTGTCTTTTGAAAATCATATTTCCCATGTTACAAAAACAGCATTCTTCCATCTTAGAAACATTACCAAGCTACGAAACATGTTACCTGTTTCTGATGCAGAAAAGCTAGTTCATGCATTCATGACCTCTAGACTGGACTATTGTAACGCACTGCTAGGTGGTTGTCCTTCACCTTCAATAAACAAGATACAGGTAGTCCAAAATGCAGCGGCTAGAGTCCTTACCAGGTCAAGAAAATATGATCATATTACCTAGGGCTGGAGGATATTGCTAAAAGTTATATCACGATATATTTCTTAATTTCGATAAAATTGCAGCGCTAAATAAAATTTCTATTATTTCTTTCTTTAAAAAAAAAATATACTGACTCCAAGCTTTTGAATGGAATAGTGTATAATGTTATAAAAGCTTTTTATTTCAGATAAATGCTGATCTTTGGATCTTTCTATTCATCAAAGAATCCTGAAAAAAAAATTTTTTAAATATTGATAATCAGCAAATCAGCATGTTCTGAATATTTAAAATAACTGCTTTCAAATAGAAAGCAGTTATTTTAAATAGTACAAATAATTCAAAATTTTACTGTTTTTGCTGCACTTTGGATAAAATAAATGTAGCCTTGGTGAGCAGAAGAGAATTCTTAAAAAAAAAAAAACATTAAAAATATTATAGTTCAGAACTTTAGACTGGTATTGTAGGCTGATTTTTCTTATCCACCTTTTTCTTCAACGTGGAAGTAAGCCTATGGGTGAGACTTCCGGTTCATTAGCCGCTATAGGTAAATAACGAGGAGAATAACAACGTGCAGTAAATGGTAAAACTGTTTGCACTACAAACCAGTGTGTTCATAATTAAGATAATACATTAAAATAATATGATAAGACACACCAATTTTCAATATCAAGCAGCAAAACGAACTGTTTTGTACAGCTAAAAATAGCTGGACGTGGATGAGACCGGAAGCTAGACCCATAGAATTTACAAATGGCCGCGTCCATTTTTACGACAAGAAAAAGTTGGATAGATTGAAACAAATGTGCTTCAGCCAGGATAAAGAATATGAAAAGTGCTCTGAGTTGCTGCAGAAAACAAAAAAATTGAGCAACAACAAAAACATGTTGCTAGTCTCAGCCTCAGACGTCACGCCCACGGACCATTGGCTAAACGTCTGATGCATGTCACACAAAAGTGGAAACACTTCAGGAGTTTCTAAGTCGTCGTCGGATTGGTTGAATTATACAGGATTTCCAGTAAACGTGCGTGTCGCGTTCTTTAACGTTCCGCCTGGAAACAAAGATGCCGTGATGCCAAACCCCCTCACGAAAGAAGAAAGCTGTCGTGTTTTCAACTGTGATGACGAGTGCTTATCAGGATCAACTAAACGCTGGATTTTCAAAAGTATGTGAAATATTTAAAGTTCGCGGCATAGAATCTTGAAAATACGTCCGAGAGTTTTAACAAAGACTGGTTTTACACACCGGTCTGTTATTGTGGCGACATTTCCACGCCCCGAAACGTGACGATGAACGAAACAAACTGTGATTGGTTGTTTGACATGTCGGTCAAACGGCCTCATGGGCGGGCCTTGGCCAATGAAAGCTGCCATGAATTCCAGACCTTCAGCCTGAAGGTCTGGCTACGCAAGACTAACATGTTGCTGGAGATGGGCTTATTATTGAAAATGCAAACTGATTGTCTGCCAGCAGGAGGCACTTTTAGAGTGATAAAACTAGCGGTTTCCCAGGTAACTGCTGTAATCAAAGCAGCTCCGCTCATGAACGCTACTTTATCAGAGAAAATGAAAATGCCATCGAAACTTTTCTGAAGACAGTCGGTTCCCTTCAGAGATACATTCATATAAAACACCCACGCCGCATTTTGATTTTGAAACGTGCAGTGCTCATGTTCATTCAACGAAATCAAACGCCACAAATAAATCAATGTATGGGGAACACTGGTAATGTATATCGAAATATCGGAAATGTGTTTAAAAATCAT